CAGTACTGGAAACGTCAAAATGTCCCTTTCATCGAACCCAGCATCCCATGGGGTAACTACCCAAGTGCCCTCAAGCGCCAAGACAATTTCGGGGAAATGGTCGTCAAAATGTACCACCAAATGAAAAAGCAAGGTCACAAATACTTCGGTATTTACCTATTTTTCCAACCCTGCTTCGTCCCAACCGACCCAAAATTCATAAAATTGATCCTCGCCAAAGACTTCCAACATTTCAACTTCCGCAACTTTTACTACAACGAAAAAGACGACCCAATCAGTGCCCATTTATTGTCACTAAATGGTGAAAAATGGAAACGCTTGCGAAGCAAACTAACCCCGACTTTCACCGCCGGAAAAATCAAAATGGTGTTTAAAATTTTCGTCGAGTGTGGAAAAATCATAGAACACACTTTGGAACACCACGCACAAAACAAGACCTGCTTTGATGTCAAAGAAATGTTCTCGTCTTATAGCACCGACGTCATCGTCAATTGTGCTTTTGGGGTCGAAGTTGACCGATTGAAAAAAACCGAGTTTAAGAAATACTCGCAAAGGGCACTTGATTTCAACACGAGGAGATGCATTGTCATGTATTTGGGGGCTGTTTTTCCGAAATTGTGCCGGAAATTGGGYTTCAGACAAATCACCAAGTCAGCAGGTGATTTTTTTATCAACATTGTCASAAATACGGTTGAGTTTCGGGAAAAAACCAACACCATCAGGAATGATTTCTTGCAACTTTTGATCAACTTGAAGAATGATAATAGTGACGATTGGGGGCAGTTTAGCATAGAAGAAGTGGCTGCACAATGCTTCATTTTCTTTCTGGCGGGTTTTGAGACCTCGGCGACGACTATGTCTTTTGCTTTGTACGAAATTGCAGCCAATCCYCACGTTTATGAGAAAATTATGGCCGAAATGAAGCAAGTTCTTGATAAAAATAACGGCGAAATGACTCATGATGCTATCAAAGAAATGACTTATCTTGGACAAGTTGTTGATGGTAATTTTCACAATTTTTTTGACAATCAATAATTTTGTTTTAGAAACTTTAAGAATTCATTCGCCGGCTTATGCCGTCTCAAGGACGTGCACACAAGACTACCACATTCCTGAAACCAATATTGTGTTAAAGAAAGGTTTCCAAGTGTTAATTCCTATTAGGGGGATACATAGTGATCCGGAGTTTTACCCGGAGCCGGAAAAATTTAAACCGGAACGGTTTCATCCAGATAATAGGCAAAATATTGAGCCGTATAGTTATCTCCCGTTTGGGGAAGGTCCGCGAATTTGTATTGGTAAGAAAATAAATAGTTTTTTTATTTTTTTTAATGGGGGTTTCACAGGGTTGCGGTTTGGTCACATGGAAGTCAAGACAGCCTTAGCTGTGGCCTTGAGAAAGTATAAGTTTAGTGTCAGTTCGAAAACTAAAGTTCCGTTTCAACCAAATCCGAAGAGTTTGTTGTTTGATGTCCAGGGAGGAATTTGGTTGAATTGTGAAAGAATCTCTTAAATTACAAAAAATACTTATAATATTTATAAGTATTTCTCTTAAAGTCAACCGAGGTTTTTAGAACCTTTTTCAGATTTGTTTTGTTTTGAGTTAATAAATTTCTTCCAAATAAAAAATACCTATGAGACTATTTATTTCAACATTATTTTAAAATTTTTGATCAAAAGTGTTATTTTTGAGCCAGAAATTTTGCTTTTCACGAAATTTTATTAAACTTTCAGGCACAAATTAAAAACGTCTTTTGCATTTTTTTAGCTGTTTTTTTTCAGCTGAAAATGCAAATATTTTTGACAATTTTGTTATAACAAGCAGAAAAATTATGAAATTAAGTCAAATATGTTGATTTCTCCTTTTTTTAATGATTATGCTAGCTTTTTAAGCTCAAAACGCAGTTTATTATTACGCTACAAAATAGAATTACATAGAAATATAGTTATTTTATTTTTTTTTGAACACGTTTTGACTAGAAGTGCATTTTTTTCTTAAAAACCTAAAGTAGGTAATTAGGCATTTTTTTTGGTTAAGCAAAGTTTTCAAATTTTTGAAAAATCTTAAAAAGTTAAAATTAAGTCAAAAATTTTTGATTCTTGTTTTTTTTGAAAGTTTTAGTCAACAAATTTGTATGCGTTTATTATATAAAATTCTGTTTTTTAAAAAATGTCGCAAAATTGTTCAAAAATAATCATTCTTTGTAAAAAAAAAT